AAAAAAAAAAAAAAAAAAAAAAAAGTCTGTTAGCTGCATAGCTGGCTTAAGCTTTTCCTTCCAGGCTGAAGAATCTCTGCTACCAAAACAACCCCATATTAAGGTATGCATATGCTTCACAAAATTATATATCATTACTCATGCCTTGTCTTCTTGTTATAAGTGAATAATGGCATAATTAATGGAAAGGCTACGGTCTCGTTACGGTATCATCCTGTTAGGTGTTTTAACCGTTGGATACACATGTAGTCAGTATAAGATAGATGAACCAACGGTTAAAACACTCGATGAGATGATACTGTAATTGGACAATAGAATTTCCTTTAATTATAAATTGCAATTTACATGCCATGAATTCCAGATATTTCATTCACCAATTTCATCTCAACTGCCCTTCAAATAAAGCATTGGACTGCATGTGTTGGCCAATTATTTTAATTTATATTATTTTTTTTTTTCTTTTAATATAAGATAGGAGTGTTTGGAGGCTAGCAATCAATGTGCCAGAATCGTGACTTTTGTTCTTTTCTCTTTTGCTCCGATCTCTTCCTTTTATTTTGGCTCTTTTTGTGTTTCTCTTACTAATGTTTCTCTTAGATTTTATCTCTAGCCTACCCAATTTGCTTGGGACTAAAATATTATGTTTATTGTTGTTGTTGTTGTTGTTTGTGACTGACATTTGTTTTCAACAAGAAAAAGGGCATATGAATTGACATACTTTGTTGTTTTTTTCTCCTCCACTCAATCAAAATCTCATCTTCTTGAAAAACAATTTTACAGGGCTTCTGAAGACCTAATCAACAAAACCCAAAACAAACAAATTTCAAGGCAAGAAAAAAAAAAAAATTATAAATAAATAAATATGATGCTAAGAAGCTCATCAACACCAATTCTCGGTTCCCTCCTTCCATCATCATCATTCTCAGACAGCCCCAACAACCATTCCGAACTCAATGGTCCCACACAGAAGCCCCCCACAACAAACACCACCACCCACGGCAGAATCATCTCATGTGGGCCCCACCACAGCTGCCGGAAAAAGCCCCTGCTCCGGTCCCCCTCGCCGGCCGGGCCGGAACCCGGTGGTGGGTTCCGAAGGATTCAGTCTGAAGGGAATCTCGACGAACTATTAGCCGACGACGCTGCTGACGAACTATTCGCGCTTCCCAAGAAGCCCGCCGCCGGGAAAACGAGCTGCCGCCGGACTCTTGAGGCCATCCCTTCTTTCTCGTCCCACCAATCGACACCTTCTTCAGAAAACGGCGAAGAATTCGAGTCGGGAGGTTTCTTTTTTAGTGGGTCGAAGAAGATCGAGAGCTTGGTCTCGGAGAATGTGAGGGATAGCAATGTGGGTTTGAGCTTTGGAGACATTGGGAAGATGTATTTAGCCGCGGGGCTCGGGGTTTCTGGTATTGGTTATATTAATTTTGGCGGGAATGGTGGTGGTGGTGGTGGTGGTGGTGGAGGGAGTCATCGGTCGGTTGATTTCGATAAAGAAGGAGGTGATGTCAGCGTGGAAGAACATTACCGGAGAATGATGGAGGAAAATCCAGGCAATGCATTGTTTATGAGCAATTATGCTCAGTTTTTGTATCAGGTAACTATATATATTTGTCTATTGTGGAGAGTAGGGAGAGTGTTTTAAAAGAACATTTTTGGTTACCTTTTGGTACAGAAGAAGAAAGACTTCAAGGGAGCCGAAGAATATTACTCGAGGGCCATTTTGGCAGACCCAAAAGACGGCGAGATCCTTTCGCAGTACGCTAAGTTGATATGGGAGCTTCACCGCGACAGAGAACGAGCTAACAACTATTTCGAACGAGCAGTTCAAGCATCTTCACAAGACAGGTACATTATATTACATACATATATTTTACAGCCACAAAACATTCATATGAAATGATTAATAGTAACATAACAGCCTATTTAATTTGATTTTTCAATTCTTGTCCGTGTATGTTTTTTTTTTTTTCTTTTCAGCCACGTACACGCGGCCTTTGCTAGTTTTCTGTGGGATACAGAGGATGATGATGAAGAAGATGAAGAAGATAATTTCCTGGCCGGGAAGCAACTCGTTCGACATGGATTCATGGCACCTGCAACTGCTTAAATGCATATGCTAGTTTGATTTTTTGTTCTTCATTTGGTCGAATAAAAGAAAAAACATTTACTATTTTGAAGAAAGATAGATGGGAGCTTATTAGAAATTCAGGGTTAGATATAATCTGGGGAAATATGAAAAATGTAGTCGTGTTGCCTTGTGAAATGACACAATTACCCTTACTGTCAGAAACAATATTTAGAAATGTGGGATTCTAGTAAGGATAATTGTGTCATTGCACGAGACAAAATGAATATATTTCATTGAAATCAACACTATGTTGTATTTCATTTTGGCTATATTTCATTTGGAAAGTGAAAAAGGGCTAAAAAGTGGGACTGTAATTTGAATTGTTATTAGTTCAGAAGCTGGGATTTTGGTTTTTAAATGTTGGCTTGATAATTGTTGATAGTTGGATTATTTATTTTTGTATTGGAGATAAATATATTCAAGCAGTATATGCATGATGTATTGTGAAGATGTATATTGTATTAGATTAGTGAAAGATTTGCAAGGTGGGGAAAAAAGAGTAACTACAAAGAAGGCTACACATATGTTTTCCACAAATAAATAGTGTTATATATTAGTTAATAAGAAATGGAGAGAAATGTGAATGTGTATGAACAATTAATCATGCACAAATGGTAGCATTAGAAAAATTTTAATACTTTATTGTACATATTTATGGGTGAAATACTTATATGATTAATTTTTAAAATACCATATGAGCATGAAATTATGAAATACTATTTTGAACATAAGTGCATTGTGAGATATCATATTTTGATTATATTTTAAATTTTGCTTAAAAGAAAACAATGTCACCATCTTTTAATAAATGGAGAAAACATCACAATCATAATTAAAATTGTGAACGAAATGAATATCTCGAATACTTGATTAAGCTTGAGTAGGATTTGTTAATTTTGATAAATGAATTGAATTCGAACGAAATTCATTTATCTAAAGTTTTTGTTTGCTAAAGAATGACTTGGTAGGTTTGAGGAATACAATCTCTTGCATAGTCTCTTGAACCTATTGCTATAAGTTTTATTCGAATCGAATTAGCAACGATTTATTTGACTCATGAAAGTTCGCTTATTAAACGAGTCGAGCGAGTTCAATAGCAACCACCTCAATTTTTTGAATGAACAAATTGAGCCAACACATGTTCACAAATAAACAAACAGTACATTTACTAACAAAAAGTTTATAATTTCGGATTTATGTTGACTCCATAGAATTTATGTGTATATTAAATCCATTTCTGATATTGCCATTATTATAACCCTATGTCAGAGAACTTTTATTTATTTATTTATATTTATTTTTTCAAATTGGTCTCAACAAATTCCGCTACTGCTCTCCCGAAACCCTCGTCAACTCATCCGGCGACAACACACGGCGGCGACGAGCATGAAAGTGGTGGCGTTGGTCAGCGGCGGCAAGGACAGCACCTATGCAATGATGAAATGCGAGCAATATGGCCACCAGGTTTCTCTTTGCCCGGCGTCTTTGTTCGTGCACAATAGGCTTCCATTGGCATTCTAAATCACTTTTCTTCATCTTTTTTTTTTCTCTCTTCAATTTCTGATATTCAGATAGTGGCGCTGGCTAATTTGATGCCGGTTGATGAAGCTCAAGATGAGCTTGATAGTTACATGTATCAGACAGTAAGCTCTTTGACTTCACTCAATTCCCTTGTCCCGCTCTATTAGCTTGATTGATATAAGATGGATCGGAGTTTGTGTTTGGATTGGGATTTTTTTACATCCATGTTCAAAGTATGTAACTAGTGAATCTTGTATAGATGAGTTCCCTTGCATTTTAACTGCCCGCTGTTTATGACATTCTATAACTTATACTGAACAATCGACGTTGATTTTACTGATGTGGTTAGTGTTTTTCAGATGCCAAGTGGTTCTTTTAATCCTATAGTAGACTTATCGATAATTGAATTTGTGGAAATCGGTATGGCTGCTATACTTTCCCCTGTACATTTGCTATAGTTGTCTATGCCGAAGCACATGTAAATTCCTGTGTCATGTTTTTGGTTTTCGAGGAAGCTTTTGTCTTATTAGCATACTAAAATGTAGTTTTTTTAATCTTAATTCTTCAAGGAGTGTTGGATATCATTTGGCATTTGCAGGTGGGGCACCAGATAATTGTTAGCTATGCAGAATGCATGGGGATTCCTTTATTCCGTAGACGTATTCAGGGATCAACTAGGCAAGCCAATTAATTTCGAAGCAATCGTGTATTAGTCCTCATGCCAAATGCTTATTGGTTACTGCAAATCTTTCTAAGTTTGTAGAGATACATCTTCTTTTGGCTTTATTACGTTGAAGTAGCAAAGCTTGCACTTTGTGTTCTTTTTTATTTGATAGGCATCATGGCCTTAGCTACAATATGACCCCTGGGGATGAGGTTGAAGACATGTTTATCCTTCTAAAAGAAGTAAAGCGGCAGATACCCTCTGTAAATGCAGTCTCCTCAGGTGCAATTGCGTCTGACTATCAAAGGCTGCGTGTTGAAAGTGTATGTTCGAGGTTAGGGCTAGTCTCGTTGGCATATTTGTGGAAGAAAGATCAGTCATTGCTACTTCGCCAAATGGTGAATTTTAATTTATAAAATCTCAAGACAATTTATGCTTATTCTATATATGTCTTTTATATAATGTGCATTTTGTTCGTTTCCAGATACAAAGTGAGATTATTGCAATCACGGTAAAGGTATAAGATGCATTTAGCTTCTCTTTTCCTTTTTTCTATAAAGAAAAAAACAATTGCATTTTCGTTCTCTTATTTGTATTAAGTTTCTAGCTACTGCCTATCATCCCCTCTATTTTTGGTTTCATAGGTTGCAGCTATAGGGCTAGACCCTTCAAAGCACTTGGGAAAGGAAATAGCACAGTTGGAGTGCCACCTTCACAAGCTGAAAGGGTATGTTATTCGAAAAATCTCAAGTACTCCATATGTAAAACCCACAGCAATTAATGTATTGCAATTTCAGCTTATATGGGATAAATGTATGTGGTGAAGGAGGAGAATATGAAACACTAACTCTTGACTGCCCCCTCTTCAAAGTGAGTTGGCCTATCCCCTCTCAGTTTCACCTAGTTTTTAATTCACTGTGCAACGAACAGTGGGACAAGTATAAATATTTGACCCATGATTTTATGCTTTCAAAAATAACTTTTAGTTACTTTTAGTTCATGATTAAAACTTCATGTTCCCTCTTTCCTTTGAATTCTAACATTTAGATTTTTTTTTTCCAGAATGCTCGAGTTGTGCTTGATAAATCTCAAGTTATCTTACATTCATCAGATCAAATAGCTCCTGTAGGTGTTCTTCATCCCTTGGAATATCATTTGGAGAAGAAGTCGGTCTCGTTATCTAACGACAAAGGTAATGAATTACCCGTTGGAGAATTTGGTTCAGTGTGTGAAGTGCTGGGAGATTGCTCAGGTGTTGTTGAAGACCCATGCAAGAAAGTTGATGTAAATTGTCACTTAGCAACAGATACAAAACGAGAACTTCACATCTCAAAATCTAGGATGGATGGTACTTTTTCGATTGCTTGCTGGCTGCCAGATGACTCTCAGACCTCAGCAGGTAGGACATTTGGTGTGAGTAGTAATTTTTTTTTGTTATTTATTTTAGGTCTTATTATATGTCTTTGTGTGTGTGTTTCTTACTGCTTGTCATTTATTTTACGGTTTGACAGATGTGAGGGAAGACCTCGAGGTGGTTTTAACAAAAATTGAGGTGCTGCTTAATGAACATGATTGCTCCTGGGAGAATGTTCTGTATATACATCTATATATTGCTGATATGAATGAGTTTGCACCAGCAAATGATCAATATTTGAAATTTATTACTCATGAGAAGTGTCGGTTTGGTGTGCCATCACGTTCTACAATAGAACTTCCGCTGCTGCAAGCTGGTTTGGGGAGAGCGTATATGGAAGTCTTGGTTTCGAAGGATAATATTAAAAATGTTTTGCATGTTCAAAGTATTTCCGAGTGGGCTCCTAGTTGTATTGGCCCCTACAGTCAGGTCAGACATTCCTTAAGTGTGGATTCTGGTTTTTCTCTCTTGTATCGCATGAAGATTTCTGCCATGTTTACATGTTCCTCTCTTGTAATGTGCCCCAGGGTTTTTTAATAAAAAAATATTTTATGTTGGCAACTTTGCAATATGGAGATGCTTCTGCTACAGGTTCCTTATTCATTAAACATCACGGCTTCTTCTGTTCATTTTTGTCTTGATAGAATGGCTTACCTATATTGCATACTTGCAAAATTTTTGTTTCTGATCAAAGTACCTAAAAATGCAACAGAACATTACTTTCTTTCTTCTCCTGTTAAAGTGTCTATTGTTAATGTGCATGAATTATTGTTAGTAGAATGTGCTCATTTATGGTTAGAAATTGTTTTCCTGTAATCTTTATCATATTACTCACTTGTTCACGCATATCCTCCAGGCAACCTTGCATAAGAACGTTTTGTATATGGCTGGCCAATTGGGACTTGACCCACCAACAATGTTGCTACGTGAAGGGGGTCCTGTGTTAGAGTTTCAACAAGCATTAGTGAATGCAGAGGCTGTTGCAAAATGTTTCAACTGCTCAATATCGACATCTGCTGTTGCCCTCATCATTTACTGTTCGAAATCTTTGAGTACTACAGATAGAGCTTGCATTGAGAATCAGAAGGATGTTTGTCTTGCAGAAATGAAGTTGCAGTCATTAAGTGGAAGCCAGTCCAGAGTGCATGCGTTGAATGATCCTGTTGTTTTATACATTCTTGTTCCGGATCTACCCAAAAGGTGATTTTTTTTTTTTTTTTTTTTTTTTTTTT